AGAACTGTCAAAAACATAAAATACTGTTCTTCAATCAGCATGAGAATTGCTGTGGAAATTTACTAGGAGTGCTGAACATCAAATATGGACCACACTAAAAAAGTGTATTGCTTCTGCAAGAGGAAGGCCATACCTGGATTTTCCACTCATCACAGCACTGAAACCATTTTAAGTTAATGGCCCTGAAGAAGGGATCTACCTCCTGTTCAGGCTCTTACACACCTTCCTGTGATCTGTAAAGACACAGTATGCTTACTGCTTGGCATTCAACTTTGTGTAAGGGAAGCTCAGAACCTTTTATAATAAACAAACACTTGCATACAGACTAATAGAGAAAAAGGGAACTCCTATGAGAAGAGTGTCTAGCAGTTTTTTGGGGCTGGACTGCTGTACTAGAGGAAGAGAGAAAATGTGGAGGTCCCCCAGGGACAGCCTGAAGGAGGGAGAAGGCCAGGGAGCAGATGGTTGTACTTTGCACACAGATGTCATGTGGGAATGGAAGAGCTGAAAGGCCTCCAGGAACAATCTATCTATGCCTTGTCTGCATTACAGCAAGCAATATTCTGACCCCTGTCTGGAAACTCAGCAGCAGTCAAAATTAGCTTCATGTAACTAATTCTGCCCTCAGATCCATAGGTTTGTGTCCACAGCTGGAGAACACCTGATGCTCCACATAAACTAGTGGAAACTGGAAATTTTCTTCTTTCGGTTTACTAGAAGTGCAGATCACAGTTCAGAGCAGAAACAACGGCCTAACATTTCTCCCATGCATTCTTCACCCAAATCCCGTCAGAAGAAACTCACTGGTTCTCAAAGTGGCAGATGTCAAGCAGCAACACATATCTTGAAAAATCTCCCACAAAAAAAAAAATAGAAACACTGAATCCTCTTGATAAATACTCTGCATGACCCTATAAGATTACAGACCAACTTAAAAAAATTAAGCAGAGGGGGGAAAAAAAAATAATCAAAATTCAGATCATAACATCTTACTTAAATTTGAAAGGAACGTATACACATCACTGTGTTTTCAAACTTTGCTAACAAGACATTACACTTTCTAACTTAATCTTTCATTCACCCAGTGAAAACAGGATGACATTTAAGATAGGGGGGTGGGGGGGTTGAATATAACAACAAATCCAAGTATGGAGTGAGCAAGAAGTCCCTGAGGAAGTAATTTGAATGAAAGCAAAAGAAGCAGTAGGAACATTTACTGTTACAGGTCTTAATTTGACAATGAATATTGCATTCATTCTCCACATCAAAATCAAAAGAGGATTTGGGGTTTCAGTTCTGTGAGCTAATGGCAAATGGGATTTTTACTTTTAATAATTTTAAGTCAAACAGAAATTTGGCTTTCATACATTAAAAAAACACTGCAAATGGTAACAAACATTCAAAGAAGTCTTCAGACCCTGAGAGTTCTGTGTTAATCCCCAGGAAAAAAAACCTCTGGTTTCTGGAAAGAGAAAGACAGCTGCCGAGTTTAGTCATGGCCCAATGGCAAGTGCAGTATCCACACAAAAGCAGGCTAGTCACGTCCCCACTGTTAACTGGGCATGTCCAAAAAAGCAACAGAGATCCTCCATGGTCAAGGGGACCTTTGCAGTTCCCAGCCACCTCACAAAAGGAAAACTGAAGTACAGAATGGTTCCATGAGGCCCCTTCTTGTACCTGAGGAGAAGAACTTCCAAGCTTGGGAATGAACACTGTAAACCTAATGGACAAAACATATTCTACCCATGCAGAAAAGACTTGCACATTTTTCATTGTTAAAGCATGCCAATTCAGCAAGACAGAGCTCTTCTTCAGTACATGCCTATTTACCGCTCTCAATATACGAGCCTAGCCTGAGAACTGCACTGCTATTAGAGGATTTCTTGTGTGTAGTGAGGAAAATACAACCACATGTTCAGCTTTAGTCATGCAGTGCTCCCCTTTGGGAACAAAGCATTCTGGTGTGCTAACCATGCATGTCATGTTTTAAAAAGGGATTCTCTGCGAATTGGTAATGTAGCCTGCCTCCCTACAAAGTAATACATGCCTACAGATTCTAGGCACCCAACATGCACTGAACTAACAAACTATCACTTAAATCTCACTGCTTGAGCAGAATTTGGCATGGGGAACTTCTCATCTGCCTCAGATAAAGAGCTTTACATGTTTTGTAATGTTTTTAACAGAGGCTGCTGGACAGAAAACAGGAACAGCTGGCTAGTCAATTACACGTTTAATTAATGTTTCTTTGATAAGCAGATACAGATTTAAGAATCCATTAAATGTGATGAAATGAGCTTGTTAATTTTTCATCAAATTATTTCAGGCTTTCCTGTGAGATGTACAAAGATACTTAAACACACTGACATTTCTAATATAATAGGTATGAAGAGTTTTAATAATTACACCTTCTATACACAAATTTTCTTCTCACTGACATATTCCTGTAATTAACAACGGGTCATTTTAACCACAAACGGCTACTTACTTTGATTTCACATTCTAGAAAAGTTAATACAAGCAAAAAAGCAGGGAAATTATCCTTCCCATGGCTTAATTTAGTATGTAACATATAGATCCTGTACACTATGTATTTTTCATACTACTGCTCTGATAGGATTTATGATCAATGAGCCAACAGCAAAAAGCTAGTTAAATTGCTTTACAAATGGAAAATAGATTTGAAGGAAACAGATGAAGACAGCGTAGGCTTAATGGTATGCTTCTGAAGAAAAGAATGAAAAAGCAGATCAGGATTCAAAATTCAAACTCAATTTATCTCATGTTTGTACTTCAGAGGCCCTGATTTGAGTGAATGCTCTCTCTGGCAACGGTTCAGCCCAAAAGATAATATTAATACCACAAGACTGCATACCTCTGTAGAACTGAACTGAAAGCAGAAGTGACAGAGTTTTATTTTTTTTAAATAAGACAAAGATTGAAGAAAAAAAATAGTGTCTTAATTTTACTGGCAAGTGATATTTATTAATTAGATTTTGTAAGTCAAGACTTAAGGAAACTTAAGAATAAATGTTTATTCATTAGAAATATTTCTATTATTTCCAATAAATGGAGGGAATAGAGGAATAAAGCTAGTAAGTGAAACTGCTTATTTTTGTCAGCTAAAGGATTTTTGCACACAAGACACTGCCTTCTTTTTGTGCAGATCCTGTATTTTAAAATACACAAAGTTGCTGGCATAACATATTGAAATCTGTCTATAACGAACGTTCCTAACAAAACCACAATAATTCCCTTCAACCAGCTTAATAGAAAAGATACAAGGTACCAGTCTACATTCTACTCATAGAAAATGATAAGATAGAAGCATCTGAAAAGACATCCCTATTAATACACATCCATTTCTTAATATGATTTGCACCTGAAATGCTACATGTGTACGGACTGCAATAAAGGGCCTTCAGTTCCGTGCTAAGCCCTCTCTCATCAGCCAACCTGAAATTGTAAAACTGTCAACATCACCATGCTTCAAGACAAATTTTCCATTTTAAAAAAAGAAATTATGTTAAAAGGAAGACATTTTTGGTTTTGTTTTTTAATTTGTCACATCATGGATCTTGTTTAGAGCACAGCATTCACACAACCAAAAGTACAGTCTGACAATCAATTAAAACTGACATAGATAAACACAGCCACCAAACACAACGGTCCTGCCTTTCCCAGTATCTTAATTCTCATGTTTTTCCTTCTGCACTGGTGTAAAAGCTTGGGCAACCACATAGTGAACAGAGACAAGAATCCTAACGAGTCAAAAATTTACCCAGAAAGAATAGATAAGCACAGCGGTTCTTCACCTGCCCCAGTTCACCATAAAGCCACAAAAACTTGTACTGAACATAAAAAAGGGGCTGTGGGGATAGCAGAAACAATTGCTTAACCCACCAATACCAATGAAAAGTTATTAATGAAACTCCATTCTGAGGTTCCTTTCCACAGTATGTAAAAAATCAAACGTATTACTTGTTAATTAATAACATTTGATAATGTTCATTATATATCACAGGCTGATTAAACTGCCATGCAAATTTCAGTTCACTTTTGTAACATCAGAAAGCTATACAACAACTATTTGTTAGTTAGGCTGAAGCCCCAGCTTTCCCTTTAAACACTTTCAGAGACAGTTAACATAATATCAAGAGTCAAATATAACTTCTCTGTGATCAGTACCACTTTATTTGCCTAGCAGGTTCCTAAAACAGATGTACTCACTGACTGGGTAGCCATGGGAACGTTCTCCCACAATTCTTGCTTTGCCCTCACTCCTTCCCTTTCCTTTTGGGGCATGACACCACGGGAAATAACTCTGACACACAATCTCTGAACCTACAATATGAGCAGGCTAGAACAATTCTAGAAGTATAATATGCAGTGATATTAGAAATGTAACAACTAGTCCTTTCAGGTCAGAGCTGATGTGGTTTTTCTCATCACAGTCTTTATCCATGCTTTTTATAGCACTTTTCTGTTCAAGATGACCCATCATATTTCAAAGGCGCTACACTCAAAGTTACAGAGCTCTTTTCTGCCCATTTCCGTATGACCACCAAAGTCACCTCTTCAAACCCAGTACCTGTCTAAGGGACTGTAAGAAATGCAGGGGTCAGAGTGTAGATCCAGATCCCTGTGTTCTGTGTATACTCAGGCACAGTATGCCTGGACCAAGTAAGAGAGACGTATTTATTCTACCTGATCAAGAAACCTGCACTATAGAAGACAGCATAAAACGAGAGATCTTAACCAACAGCTGTCTCCACTCTCAGGATGACAATTTTTTTAAAATTGATAGAGTCAGTAACTTCCACCCTGCCAGGGCTCACAAAATTGCATTATGATTTTGAGTAATAAACAGCGAACGGATTCCAAAATATGCATTCCAAAAAATAATTTAATACAAGTTGATCATAACTGCATTTGATTATGACTGTTATGAAAGCATTTCTTTACTTAGGCTATCCAAAGGCATTAGCATTCATTCTTACGCCATATCGAGTCTGTGATCTGAATCTGACTGTGTCTGAAACCTGGGCCACATTTAATTTCTCACATCCAGATTAAATAACTAAATGTTTACTACTGTATTCTCTATTTTCAGTCCTTTTTAGGACTTTAGCTTCAAGAATGTTTTCTACACGTTGATGCCTCTGTTCACTTTCAGTCAGCGAGCATTATACATTTCCTAGTAGCTGAGAAGGACGCCTTCTCACAGCCTTCACTCTGCAAACCTGTGTGAGAAATCCAGCAGAAAGGAAATCCAACACAATCCTTGGCTTGTGTTGGCTATACAGCTCCCAAGCTATGTTCAATTCCTGCTCTCAAACTCCAAGGTTAGCCTAAACAGACAGTCATTAGGTGAACCTGGTTGTAAAATACTCACTCAAAAGAGGAGTACACGGTCTACAGCATCTTCTAGGTTGACTGATAAATTTCTTTGTCCCAGTTTAAATGATAGTTTTCTCTACTGTCCTGATAATGCTGCTGCACACAAAACTAGACCCTGTATAAACTTTGATGGAGACATTAAATTTTATCAAAAAGTGCATTAAAAAGCTTGTCTAGGAAAACGGATGGTCCTTCAAATTCAGTTTAAAAAAAAAATAAAATTACATCCAGTCACCAGTTTACAGTTTTCCTTAGTTATATATTTATTTTTTTATATGCTGTCTGTAAGGCAAGGAACATTGGCTGGACTATCTTTCGTTTTATAGCTTAGAATCCTTTATGAAACAAAGACTTTTTTAGGGGCAAGACGTTTACAAGCTGTAATAGCTCATCCATATATAGATAACTGCTATATTATACATATTATTACACGTATGTGTATACTTTCACCTAGACTAACTCAAAGCACAAATCCTTTAAATTTGAGAGACAACATATTTTTTTTTGTCAAGGGCATGAGGAATAACATGTATATTGTATTTACAAAATGTACAGAATGCTTTATGGTAAGACTTAACTTCTCCACTTTGAGATGCAAATCTATGCGCTATCTTTTCAGATAATTAAAAGTTTAACACATCAATTAATACGGTAAGTAAGGATTTTTGACAGCTATGACTGTTCCCCATAAATTAAAGGCTTATTTTTCAGCCTTTCCTTCTTCCTATTTCCCTTTCTCTCAGATGCATCAGGAACTTATTTTTTTTGTACAGCAAATGCAACACTGCCCTGTGAACGGATTTGGTGGGTGAACCATTCAGTGGATGAGGAATTGGCTGGATGGTTGCATCCAGAGGGTAGTGGTAAACAGCTTCATATCCAGATGGAGATTGGTGACGACTGGTGTCACCCCGGGGTGACATGCCCCATAGGGGTCCATACTGGGACCAGTACTCGTTAATATCTTCATCAGTGACATAGCCAGTGGGATCGAGTGCACTCTCAGCAAGTTTGCAGAGGACCCCATCCTGAGTGGTGCAGCTGACACGCCTGAGGGACGGGATGCCATCCAGAGGGACCTGGACAAGCTCAAGGAATGGGCCTGTGTGAACCACATAAGGTTTAGCAAAGCCAAGGGCAGGGTCCTGCACCTGGGTCGGGGCAACCTCTGGTATCAACACAGGCTGGGGGATGAAGGGATGGAAAGCAGCCCCATGGAGAAGGACTCAGTGGTCCCGGTGGGTGAAAAGCTGGACATAAGCCGGCAATGTGTGCTCACAGTCCAGAAGGCCAACCGTCTCCTGGGCTGCATCCAAAGCAGCGTAGCCAGCAGGGTGAGGGAAGGGATTCTGCCCCTCTAGTGCACGGTGTTGAGACCCCACCTGGAGTCCTGTGTCCAGCTCTGGAGCCCTCAGCACAGGAAAGACATGGGCCTGTTGGAGTGAGGCCAGAGGAGGCCACAGCAATGCTTACAGGGATGGAACAGCTCTGCTGTGAGGACCAGCTGAGAGACTTGGGCTTGTTGAGCCTGGAGAAGAGAAGGGGAGACCCTTCGGGGGAGACCTTACTGCAGCACTCCAGTACTTAAAAGAGCCTTACAAGGAAGATGGGGACAGACTTCTTAGCAGGGCCTGTAGAAACAGGACAAGGGATAACAGTTTTAAACTAAAGAGGGTAGATTTCCACTAGTTTTAAGGAAGAAATTTTTCACACTGAGGGTGGCCCACACTGGCACAGGTTGCTCAGAGAGGTGGTAGATGCCCCATCCCTGGAAACATTCCAGGTCAGGTTGGACGGGGCTCTGTGCAACCTCATCTAGTTGAAGATGTTCCTGCTTATTGCAGGGTGGTTGGACTAGATGAAGGTCCCTTCCAACCCAAACTATTCTATGCTTCTGTGAATACCACCTTGCTCTTCACAGTGCTCTCTTGGTTCTTCCTCAAGCCCTAACAAGCGGTGTTCCATAAAAAGGGAAATGCATAGCCCAAAAGCAGTGTAAGACATGCAGTGAGATGGTGTGAAGTACAAAAAACCCAGCGAAGCTGTCCAGGAAAGTTATCCTTCCTTTTCAGAACCCCACACTTCACCAGCATATGTGTAAGATGAAGAAAGGTAGAAGGGTCTGACTTACGTCCTCCCTAGAATGCTATCTGGGGACCTGCTGCTTCTCTCTCCATCTTAAGGTCCCTGTCAGCCATGATTTTGTATAGGGGTATGTAGAGGAAAAGAACAGTGCCAAGCAGTCTGTTGCAAGGAGTGCCTGAAATCTTGCTGGAGATGGGAAGAAGGACACCCTAGATACAGGAAACAAAACAGCAGAGACACAAAGAGATGGCAATAACTCAAGTAATCAGGTAGCATAGTTGTAAAAGAATAGGCAGAAAGGATGTAAGGTCAGACAGTTATCTTCCATGAGACAAGACGCAAGAGACAGGCATGACATAAAATAGGAAGAGGAACAGATTCAAGTATATTTGCTATAAACTGTTTTTAAGTACATCCATCTGGCTCTGCAGAAAGATTCTTTCACAGAAATGGAAACCAAATATTCATACATGAAACCTTTTAGCATTAAAAATACTGTATTACTAAGCTTTGTACTGAAAGAGTTGATTAAGAACTCAGAAAATATCCATGTAAATTTAGAAGCAAACTTAATTATGCATTTCTAACAATTATTTTTACTATTCAAAATTCCCAGAGTACGAGTCCACTCACAGTTCTAATTTAGTGAAAGCATCTTACCTATACCATACATGAAAAAGAGCATCTGTTAAGAGAGGAAAATGTTGTAAGCCAGTCAAGCACAAAATCAAACTGTTAAAGATAGCCTGAAAGACAAAGCTTGTTCCTTTTTCCAGCTCAGTAGATTCCTGGCACATAGAAACCCATTTCAGTTTCATTTTCTTCAAAATTAAGGAAATTAATATATTCTGGTTTCATGAAAAATAAATATATTCATAGCCCTTCACTCTTCCCTAACTCAGAAGCGCTTGGGAACCACCATTACTAGAGAATTATTCTTTTCTTCACTCTAGTATCACTGTTATCTGCATGTCAAACATGCAGACAGTTTCAGTCTTTGTCCCTCCCATACTTTCCTCACTCACATTATTTTGATTAAAATTGCTGAATTTCTTACTCCTAGCACTAACAATGAGGGCAGGAAATGTAGGAAGAAGTAACGTCTGAGAAATTAACATATCCAAGGTGTCCACAATGCCACTGTTTCATAGGGCACGAT